GGACGCCTTTGCCTCCACGGAGGCTGCCTTCGGCAGGAGGGTCCTGCAGGGGGTTCTGGATTCCCCGGGGGGCTCAGGCCCAGCGAATCCCTCCCAGGACATCTAGCTTTGGTATGCCCCACATGTTACTCCTCCCACGCCTTCTCTTCGGAAACTGGCGGTTGGCCTTACCTGAACTGCATGTTTTGTAGAGATGCGTGGGAGGAGTCACTTCCCTCCCGTCTGGGCGCCCCCGCGCCTAGGGGGGCCTGAGCAAGTCCAGGTTCAGCGTTAGCAATTAGGAAGGATGTGTGTTGGCTGTTTTTTGTTTGTCCTTCCTTTCAGTTTCTGCTACGATCCATCGGTTAATCTGGGAGAGTCGGAGGAGGTACGGAGGTGTGGCTCCAAAAGATTAATACCTCAGTCTCCAATAGGCAAGTAGGCTTGGGTAATACCCATGTGTTACTCCTCCCACGCCTTCTCTTCGGAAACTGGCAGTTGGACTTACCTGAACTGCATGTTTCGTAGAGATGCGTGGGAGGAGTCACTTCCCTCCCGTCTGGGTGCCCCCGTGCCTAGGGGGGGGGGCTGAGCGAGTCCAGGTTCAGCATTAGCTATTAGGAAGGATATGTGTTGGCTGTTTTTTGTTTGTCCTTCCTTTCAGTTTCTGCTACGATCCATCGGTAATCTGGGAGAGTCGGAGGAGGTACGGAGGTGTGGCTCCAAAAGATTAATACCTCAGTCTCCAATAGGCAAGAAGGCTTGGGTAATACCCACGTGTTACTCTTCCCACGCCTTCTCTTCGGAAATCCACCAAGCTCAGAGAGCACCGAGGACCCCTTGTGTTTCAGTATTATTTGGGCACCAGCCCTGCCCCACATTGCCAGGGGAAAGGAACTTTGGGTTTTCTTGTCTGAGGCCAGAAAAGATTGCACAAGGTACCTTCTCTGCATGCATGAAAAGCCCCTGCAGAATCCATTGCTAAGCTATTTCGTTACCAGTCCAACAGGATCTCTTAACATACACAAGATGAGCAAATTTTCTTCTTACTTGTTTTGAGGTGAACAAGGTCGTGTTAAATACTGGCACATTGGGAGCAGGAGAAAAGCAAAGGCTATTGTTGCAAGGACTGCAGAGAAACAGAAAGAGGGGGAAATGCCATTATTGGGGAGGGAAAAATCCAAAAAAAGCAGACATCCACAATTAACTCAGACAATTTTTAAGAGTCCTGTTTCTTGAAGAACAGTATCAGTATCCTCGGCGCTTGCTATCCAGTACTTTAGACCTATGAAACAAATATTTTTTGAAAGGGAGACGCATACGTGTCATTTGGCAGAAGACAAAAAACTGGGCGCCTTTTTGTGATTTGGCCCAACTTTCAGCCCGCAGATTCAGGGTGACTAAGATGCAACTGAGAAAGTTTAGCAACATCAGCAACACCATTTGATTCTAATCTTCCGAGTTCTTCTCGGCAGCTCCACTGAAAGAAATCGGCACCTGGGCTCTTGGAGAGTTTCTAACTGCTTAAATATAGTTTTGGAAAAAGAGCATCCCAGTGGATTATGTTCTACTGTTATTTATTTCATTTTAACTGTTTTATTCTATGGCCACCCTTCAATTTCGTGGAGGTTTACAAAAAAAAATTACTATTGTGAAAAGGTAAAACAGAACCAGTGCAATGTATAAAAAGCACCATAAAAACAAGAGAACCATAATAAACATAAAATGATCTTAAAAGTAGAAGAAATAGGTTAGTTTGGGCATTTGGTGGTTGGAGAGGGGAGGGAGGGAATCATTGCTGTGTTAAGTATTTCCAAATCAAGAGTTGACAATTTGATTGTGCCCAAATAGTTTATGCTGTAACTCCCAGCATGCAACTCACTTCTGGTCTTGGTGGCTGAAGTTGACAAAATAAATACGTTTATTCAGCTATCTTGGATACACACACACAAGGCTAACTAGACTTTTGGCAAATATTAGACCAGGGTTTTCAAACTGTTCCTTACCCCAAGATTCTGTGCGTGGTGCGTGTTTAAGGATGAAAAAAGCATGATTTTGCCAACAAGCTTGGGGACCCAGAATCCATCAATTGGTTGGTTTGACTGTTGTCACCAAAGGTAGGTGGGGGTTTATTGGGGTTTTGTATTGGGATCTTATTTCTTTAAGCTGCCTGAAATCATTGTGAGTGAATTGGGAAGCCATATAAATGCCCTTAATTAAAAAATCAAATCAATAAAACAAATGTCCTCAAATCCAGACAATTCCTTTCACCAGCCCTGCATTTCTTGATGAGGGCTTCCAGAAAATCACAGCAGGGGTGTCAAACTTACGGCTTTGTGGGCTGGATGCGAAAGGGGGAAAGTTGTGATCCATTACATGATGAGAAGGTGACGCCATGAGTTTGACAGCCCTGGTTTACAGCTAACAGCTTCTGAGCCATGAAACAACTGGGAAAGCTCTCCATGAAACAACCAGCCTCACCTGCTGTGCATATTGTAAAAACCACCTGAACTGAGTCAAAGAAGAAGAACATAACCAGGAGGGACACGGATGCCCCAATAGGCAGGAAAAGTGCCTGTGTCGAATCAATGGTCTGGATGCCTGCAGGGGAAGAGGAGGAAAGGTCACAATTATTGGGTGTCACACAACAGCCACAGCTACAAGGGGATCAGCCTAGATCCTCTTGGTGCCACACAAACAAATAAAACTAAAGCGACAGGCTAGATATGCATATTTTAAAACTGCAAATAGGAAATGTTCAGAAGAGGGGGAAAAAACAAGAGGTATAATATAGATAGTCCTATAATAGTCCTTATGGCCACAATCGGGACCAGAATTTCAGTCACTAAGCTATCTGGTTATTAAGTGACTCCTCACATGACCCGATCCTGTTTTATGACCATTTTCATAAATTTAATTTACGGTGATCATTTTCACTATGAAGGTTATCATTGGGATCATTAAGCAAATCTGGTTTGGCTAATTGACTTTTTAATCCAGCCTGAGGTTTTGTTCACTTTGATATAAATTCAGAATCAATTAAAAGACTTTGTCCTCAAGAATAATGCAGATTCGGAGAGCTGAAAATGAATGACCATTTAAAAGGGTAGGATTTAAAGTGGTGTCACAATTCAGTCTGTTCTACTCTATTCAATTATTTGAAGTACATGATTATTTTTATTTTCATCTGTTAATTGTTAATATTGCAGTTTCAATGTTTTTATTTATAATTCTAATAATTTTTTAAAAATAAAAGCGTATAGCCTATTAGGAGACAGTTCAATACTTTGCACTAACCTACTATATACCACCAACATATCTTAAACTAAAAATATTAAAAATGGAATAAACCCCACTATATTTCATATGCCTTTCTTCAAAGTAAAGATATAGTGCTACTTGTAACTTCCAAGATCAGGTTAATTGTCTTAAAAGTATTTCACCTATATTTAATAGGCATTGCTACTTCAAAATGGAATAACCATGGACATTCATAGTTTTAGATTGATTGTATTAGTGCAGGGCAAATATAACTATTACAAGGAAAGACAGTAAAACATTTATAAAATTTTGATATTGTTCTACATTTCTAGTTCATGCAAGGCTACATTTCATTTTAATTCTTCAACATGCTCCTGAAACATGTCATTTATTATAGGTGGGCCCAACTATGGAATAATTTTAAGATTTACTGTCTAGACCACGAACACGAGAAACAGATGACAGAACTGGGCAAACCAGTTACTCTTCCCACAGGACTAAGAGATAAGCTTCCACAGATCTCACAGTCTCAGAGTCTGGATCCTCCTAAAGACATCTCATCACTGACACTGGGGCTGCTGCTGCAGATCCTGAATCTTACACAACTTGTGATTAGCTATCAACTAACTTTTATTTGGACTTTGTCATTGTTCCTTCCTTTTATTAATTTTCCCCTTTTCATAAATATGCTCATTTTTGTATCTTGCACATGCCAGCACTATTTAAAAAGAAACGTTCAACTAAACTAGTCCTTGTTTTTATGATGTTGCCGGTTTTGTGTTTCTCACGTTGGGCAAATGATTCTAGAATACTTTCCTTTTCTATATACTTTTTGCAGAGATGGGCAAAACTGAAGGCTCCTTGAAGAAAGACCTGAGCCCTCCAAACCCAACGGAAAAGATTGGCTGCAGTCAAAAATACACCTTGGGGGTGGAGCCTAGCCTTAATTCCTATCGGGAAAGCTCTACCCCTCCCTATACAATTAATAGAAGACTTTTAAACACCCCAGTTTTGCAGAGTCCCATTTCTTCCAGCAGGGCTACACTGAAAGCTGGACTGGCTGGCTGTGAGGAGTGGCCAGTGCTAGTCACAGTCTACCCCCAAAAATAGCACTGTTATGAAAGCTGGCCTTTGAAGGAAGCCTCTTACTGTTATTGGTGCTACCGCCATTGAAGGGTCCAGCCGAGTTGCTGCTGTCCTTTTCCTTGTCTTGGTTCTCAAAGTCCATGTTCAGGGACCTGCAGAAAATGAGCGTATGCAAAACATCGGCTTTACATCTGGAAGGGACAGAACTTTGGTGTCCTTAAATGGAATATCAGTGCAATCAAAACATGGTTTTTTAAAAAAAATGTACCCACTTTTTCGTAGAATTTTCCAAGCATCTTACACAAATAGTAGATGTATTAACAAAAATGAATTATGCAGAAAAATACAAAATTATAGAATGTAAATGCTAGCAATAACAGAATCAAATTTAGCAGCATGATTCATTAAAACATCCTTATGCAGAAGAGTTAATTTTGTTTTTATTGAAGATCTGCATCTTTCCAAAGACATTTTTTAGCTTTGCGTATAGAAAGAGAAGCAAAACAATAAACTAAAAATAATATTATAACAATATCAATCATAATAGCTTGTAAGAGCAATATGAAGCCACTTTCCATTTTCAGATTTAGGGAGATTGTTTTGCAGCTGAGCAACACTGATAAAAAATATGCTTCTTCTCAGGGCACACAAGCTCACCTCAGACGGTAAGACAACAACCTCTTAACAGATGATGGAATCCAAGAAGATTTTCAACAGATCTAGTGCCCACCTATCTACACTCATAAAGGAGTATCTGTAGAGACATCTGGTCCTAAATGTTTGGCCAAGTCAACGGCCTTATATGCACAGAGTTGAATTTTACTAATAAACCAGAGTTTATAATTAAGTTTTCGTAGCAAATCAAAGTAGATATCCATTGGATGTGATTTTCTCTAATGGTTCGTGAAGGAAAAAGACATTGACCAAGTGGTTGCACCTTACAAATGTCTCTGAAGTTGTTCACAGACTTGAATTTCAAGCAGCTCTCCAAGCCCTTTTCTTCTCCAGCCCCATGTTCCTTTCCCTGGTCAGTACCTGTTCCATTGCAACAATTTCCAGCACTGTAGGAGATCTATTAAGGCAGTGTTTCTCAACTGTGACAACTTGAAGATGTCTGGACTTCAACTCCCAGAATTCTCCAGCCAGCAAGGTTGAGAAACACTATATGGAGACTTACAACCATTCATTTAATGATGTATAGATGCTACAATGGCACCAAAAGTGACTTACAACTGCTTCATTCACACACTTATGACCACCACAGCCTCCAATGACAAAATGATGAAAATTTGGGCATTTGGCAATATTCATGACTGTTGCAGCATTCTGGGTTATTGTGTTCACCATTTGATTTGATTTGATTTTTGATTTTATTAGTATTTATAGGCCGCCCTTTTCCCTGAGGGGACT